AGAAAAAAGTGAAAATTCAGAAAATGTACTGAAGAATGATATTTGCGTAAAATGCAGATTTGCGAGCAGCATTTAAAAGTATTTTCTGAAATATCAGTATTGTTTCAGGATAAGTCTTTTGTTAATAACAGAAATTTAAACCATGTAAACATCGATTACGTAAGAAATACTTAAGACAAAACATACGAATATTTATGTTGTACAAGTTGACATTTTTTGTAAAACATTCGTTGCTTAAATATGTAATACAAAATTGTGTCTAAATAGATGAATGAGAGAAACATTAGATTCGTAATTTGTCAGAAATATTTTCAAAATTAGAAGGAGAATTGAGTTAACGCAAGTATTAGGAATAGTTGAAGAATATTGTGTTACGTATTTGTGTACCTTGTTTTGTAAAATGTAAGCCTTCGTTTTATATATGCTTGATGTATAGAGCTGTTTTCAGACAACAAAAAGCTGTTTTCAGATAGATTATTCAAATTTCCTTGAATCATTTTTCAATCAGACATATTTTTGTTGCATTAACTTTTGAATTTAACGTCATCTAAATAGTTTACAGTAAATTACTCTTTCTAAAGAAAATAATTTGTCACTCTTTTTAGAAAATAAAAGTGTAAAATATAAAATGAATTACTGATACATATTGATCAGAATATTTATTAGGTTCTGCTCTCTGGGAACGGTCATATTGATCATTTGAACAGGACTCGAATGATATTATTTTCATCTCATAAACATTTTACGATCGCATTCCAGCAATGAAACACTCTGCATGGCATGGTGGGGAGGTATTATGAAATATGTTATATTTTGAAGACATCATTTCATAAAATGTATACCAAGAATGCGTTCTGTGTATAAACTAAAAAAAAGGTATTAGCAAAATAAGTTCAAGATATAATTAAGTATGATGATAGACTGCTATTATAATGTTTGGAATGTAATAATATTTAACAAAGTATCAAAAATTTAAAAAGCAGTCGGGATCTTCAGTATTCTTCTAGAATTCCTTCAAGACAGTAATACTGGTAGTTTGACCTGGTTTGAATTCGATACTAGGCAAACAGATTGTCTGCATGATTTGATTTCTTGGTTTCTCCATACGTGACTTGAATATGAGCCTGTTTTCTTCATAAAATCTTTCACTAAGGCATCCCTTCTCTTAGGCAGCGAGCCCTAGCGTGTTTTGCCGTAATCAAATAAACCAAGCCTTAATTTTCAGATAATGTCGCATTACAAAAAGAGACCTTTATTCAGTCCCTTAGAAGAAAAAAAAAGAAGAAAAGTTACTTAATGGTTTCAAATTTACGCACATACCATATCTATGGATATTCCACTGCACCTCTTCAAACGATCTGAGTAACGGCCACATAGTTGATTCATTTTGAATCATCTATGTGGTTGATTCATTTGAATCAACATTCATTTGACATTCATTTGAATCAACAACATTCATTTGAATCAACATAGTTGACTCATTTTGAGTTTAAATTTAGGTCACTCTTTGTGATTGAAACATTTTTTTTTGCGACTTACCAAAATTTCAAAATGATGTCAAATTTTTGTCAGAAATTTTGCTTTAGCAATCAAAACCAACTTAATATTTTGTAATTGTTTTACACTCTACACCAGCTATTTTAATTAATATTGTTGCATCCTACGATTTCGTGGAGTCGGAGTAATTAATGATAACACTTGCTGAAGAATCAAAACACAATTTATTCGCAAGTTAGCACTATTTCACAGGACAGTTCCAAATCTACACGTTTACACTCGCAGAAAAACTACGGCAAAAATGCTGAAACAAGCTAGCTTATACATGAACTCAAGACACTCTACTGCAATATTAGTACTCCGCTACAGGCAGGGTATATATAGCCTTAACCTAACTTCGAGAATATTCCCCAGAAAACCGCTAAGAATGCGTTGTAGAACTTTCTCGCTTCATCTATGGCATATCGCCAGCTTTTTGCCAAATAAAGCCAAATGGGCAATTTCGCGCTATATGTGCCAACTCTGCCTTTTCATGCAACTTTCTGGCAACCCTAAACCCGCTTTGCGAGGAAGCTATCTCACCACAGCTGGGCATTTCGCAACAATATCATTCACTTTGAATGTACATAATCAGCTCCCTTCCTCCAGCCGTCAAAACTGAAGCTCAACATTTCAAAGCCTTCCTAAGGTATTCCTTTTAACGTTTAGTTTCTAGTTTAAATGTTAAAAGAAATGTTGATTCTGATTTTATATATTTCTCTTTATAATATATGTTGAAAACTGCATTCATGTTTCTGGTGTTTAACAATCGACATCCTAATGTATAATATAATGTAAGTAAAACAGTAGTGTTAAAAAATATACATTATTTGTAGGTTTTTTATCTTTTTATTACAAAACAGATTAATGAATATTAATACTAACGTAAATGCAAAAACTTGCGTTTCTCTTGGAAAAATTTCAACAGCACTAGCTCAAATGCCTTTTCATATGCAAATTCTAGTTTTAATATGAAGTATCTTCAGAGACGTTGAGTAAGTATAAAAGCTAACAGAAACAGAATTTTCAAACTGCAATGGTTGGTCATATCACAGGGAAATCTTTAGAAGCAAATCACAAAATTTTCCTGAAACTGTTAGTTCGAAGTGACATTTTCAATTAGAATCAGTTTTAGATATCACAACTATAATTGCTTATATGTGACTTTAAGAAATTATATGTGAACTTATATGCTGGTTTTATGAACTTATATGCTTATATGTGATTTACGCAAAAGCATTCGGGGATTCGAGCTGCCCAGACGGTATAGTGGTTAGGGATGAATATTGCGATACCGAAGTGCCCGGGTTCGAATCCCGAAAAAAAGACATGGTTATGGAGACGAGGCGCCTCGAAGGTTTCACTACACTCGTTCGCTCCCCCCCCCCGCTTGAGTGAATTCGCTGATCTTTCAGCTTCCCTCAGGGTCACTCTCTCTTTGACCCGTAATCGAGCAATCTTATTTCTTTCAACCGTAAGCGGTTGTTAACTGACTTAAGCACGATTTTGTTCTCTTTCTTAAAAAAGTTCTAGTGCATAGATTATTATTTTTATTTAATTTTAACTTAATCTCACTATGATAATTAATACTATTTTTCATTAGTCGATATGACACTTAAAGCTAAAGTTAATCAGTTTGTATTGATAAAAGTTTCTCCTCAGAGGAATTGCTGGCCGCGTCTCTTTAAATCAAACTCGCCTAAAAAGTTCCCGCTTCTCTTTCCCTCTCAGACCCGAAGCACTTTCGACATGAAGTTTTTCGCGAGTGTTTTCGCTTTCTTGATGTTAACACCACATGACCATTGATCAAGGAAACGTCGATGTTTGACAAAATTCATGATGTAACCCCCTCAAAATTGATTCTGACCCTTTTTCGACACAAAAAATTTACTAAATCAAGTCCTCCAGTGTTTTTACTTTTTTTCACTGTGGAAGGCAGTTACTCTTTTGTTAAATTTAACATTTGGCATTAAATTTTACCTCTTTGTGGAACCCTCTTTTTGGCGATAAAAATAATTCTTTGATGATGTGGGAATAAAGGCAATAAGCCTATGTGGGAATAAAGGCAATAAGCTTAAGTGCCTCGTAATAGAACCCTTCCTTGGTTCTTGGTCATTCGGGGGAAGTATTAAGTATCCAATAAGAAAGTGCCATGTTCTCTCCTGTATAAGCTGCATTTTTTCCCAAAAAAGGCAGATGAAAATTAGGCGGGTGGCTTATATACGTGAATGATTAGAAATAGATACATACATACATGTGGCAACAAAGCAGCGAATCTTATTGAGTATAAATTCCATTGTTGATGGGTGCCGGAACCGGTTATAGTCTCACTGATAGTGAAGGGAATAACGCTAATGGTAACCAACAGTGAGAGTAACTGAGAGATACTAAGCACAAAAACATGTTCCTTCTGATCGATTATAAAAGTTTTTCTTCAGTGCGTATAAGTACTGTTTCATTTTAGCTGCTTCCACATCTCCAAACGAAAACTCTCTGTAGATGATAGACAGGTAACCTTAAACTCTTTTTTAAATTTGAGGTAAAAATTAAGGATGAGGCTTGCGATGATACGTTAATGTTAGTTATCTGAAATTATCCCAGTCATTTTCGAAAGACAGGGAAACCACTGTGAACAGAACTAATATGCAAGATCAATTTTAGCGATTCAATTACAAAAATCTCACATAATCAAGTTTTATTATTTTAACATCTGGAACTCTAATTTAGCGTCAGTTTTATAGTTCCATAATAAAGCTATATTGCTTCTACTTGCATTGCTTTGCTGTTAATAACATTGTGAGGTCATTAAATTTCAACTGACAATGCTTAGACAAGTTTAACTATGATTGAAATTTGTTTCTTAAAAGCTGTGTTTTCACGCAATTTCGAATTTCCCCTGAATTTGAAAGCATCGATTCAATACAGCATCGAAAGCATCTATTCAGGAGAACATCGAAAGCATCGATTTCTGGACACTTCCAGTGAGTTTTGCAGAATTTTGCTCATCGTGTGCTTTATGTCATAACAATTGACGGAAAGCATATCATAAACTAAACCCGAATATCTGTAGTTACTTTTCAAGTCTGAATAAAATTTTTGATCTCAGTAGTTTTTGAAAATTTGATTTTATTTCATATAGCACAATAATTGTCCCCCTGTATATGTGTGTACTTTTTCTGCAAACATATATTTTTATACAAGATATTAGAACCAAAATTATTTTTAAATGTAATAGTGATGGCTTAAATTAATAAGCCCGGTATCTCTAATTTCAGTAAATCCAATATTAATACTAAGGCATACCAGTTTATTACACAGGTACTCACCAATCACATTCAAAGTTTCAGACTTAATTTAAAATTTTCAAATTTTTCCTGCCTTCTTTTATAAAATTTTAATTTCTCGGAAATTTGAAATTTCATTAATGCAACTGAGCTGCACCGAAGAAGAATTTGACGAAACAATAATTAAACTATAATTTTTATTTAAAATCCTTAACGGTACATGAATGTTACATTTTCCAATCTATAAAATCTCAGGAAACTGCTGGAATGTCTACTATAAAAGCATTAGCCCGAAAGGCAACAGAGCTAGCCATGAAAGCGTTATTGCTCTAGAAGACGAAAGCAAATGGCACTGCCCACGGAATACGGTGCAAGCATGCTTGCTGACGAAGAAAGTCATGAATGGTGCGGTAGCTAGTATGTTATTCCGAACTTCATCCTTATCAACATAGCAATTTGCTTCCTCGTAACCTCGGAAACTGCATTTCTCATAATCAACTATAACACTGAAAAAGAAAAACAAATGTTAGCAAATTTGGAAACTAATTCTACAAGAGCAAAAGCAATAGATTCCAATAATAGTTTTTACACGAGCATAAGGATTCCGCACTTTCAACTGAATCCCTAAGAATCCATAATGAAGTTATGTAAAAACTCTAACGCAAGTATATACGACATGATCACTTTTTCTAGCGCGAAGTTTAGAAGTTTGAGAATATAACAGTCTTTATAGTCAGGGACAGAATCATTTATCCAGTAAGAAAGTAGAAGAAGGCTATGGGAGGTTCACAAGACTTATTTTGATCCTCTCTCAAGATGAGATAGTCTTTTCCGTTATCTGAGAATTTTCACTTATTTCTTTGCTCAGAGGAAGAACATCAAGTCTAGAGAAATACAGATTCGAAAACACAGATTTTTTTTTAATTGTTTCATTTTCAAAAAAAATTAAAACATTAAACATTCTTTACTATTGATATTCGATAATACAAAGTTAACATTCAAACAAATTACTTTTTACAGTTATTTAATAATTTAGGATGTCTAAGAAGATTCTAAAATGATATTACATCTAAAAACTGGTTTTATTAACATTAAACATAAAAAACCTCGAAAACACTCACGTAGCGAGTCCGTTTACAAAAATTCTTTACCTGGGTCGAACTATAATTATTATTATTATTCCTACGAATATTCAGTTGTCTTAACTAAATTATTATACCATTGTGAGCCATTGTTGGACAAAACTACTGGTGCAGTTGGACAACCATTACACCATTGTTGGACAAGACTACTGGTGCAGTGTATTAAACGAAGGTGAACAGTTGAATATCTTAAAATTGATCATAAAATATTACTAGGTTTTTCAAAAACTAATTCTCTTGGATCTTTTTCAGAATCATTTTAAAGTAATTTTTCATAATGCAGATTACTGTACACTCTAGCGACCGAAGTTGCAGCAACCACTATTCCTTGAACATACGAAGGAGACGATTCGTTTACATTAAGACACAACATAGGAATCAGGTACAGCAGAACTCCAATTATCGGAATCATTTTGGACCAGACCCCATGCGGATAATTAAAAATTCTGACAATTGGATTTTTTCCGATAAAAAAGTCCACGTACACTTTAATTAATTACTGTATGTTGAAAATGGCAGAAAAAAATATTTTAAAAAAAGGTTTTTGATTAATTAAAATAAAAAGGCAACAATTTTACGTACATGTTGTATAGCGTAATTTACAGTACGTAGTTCTGAAAGTCATTGCTTGCTCAACATCTCGATCAAAGTAAGCTGCTTGACTGTCTTTATCCGTCTTCGGGCAGCCAAGTCAAAGAATCTCTAAGGAGATTCTTTGGCCAAGTCGCGCGTCTGCTTGACAATGAGAAGTTGCGTGTGGTCACACTTAGGCTCCATCCACTTCAACGCAATTTCAAGGCCGGTCCCGTGTTTGCTTCAACTTCGACATTAAGGTCATCTTCTTCCTCGACACTTTCTTCTTTCATGCTTTCAATAAGTTCACCATCATTTAGAATTTGAAATCCTGGGGCTGCTGAATCGACATTAAGGTCATCTTCTTCCTCGACACTTTCTTCTTTCATGCTTTCAATAAGTTCACCATCATTTGAAATCCTGAGGCTGCTGAATCGAACACTATCCATTCTGCTCTATCCAGGAATTTTCAAAATGATGTTTCCTAATTTATGAAGTGACACGTCATCCTCATCTTCTCCTGTCTCTTTCCTTTCCTTTCCTTGAGCTCCTTTTTCCTTTTTCTCCATTTCCTTCTGTTCTTCAGTTGATTCTGAAAAATTCTGAAATCCTGAAAGGGGTTCGGATATTGAGCGATTCGGATAGTCAGGGTTCAGATAATTGGAGTTGTACTGTACTTGGATTACATGAAAACTGATTTCTAGAAGTTAATAAAAATGTTTAACCAACCAGATTTCGCAAATGTATCGCAGCTTTTCCAGAAATTTAGGCTATGTACCTAATGGACAGTTCTTCCTATACCTATACTGACATCTAGAAAGACATATCTTGCACGTTTTAAATCGTCATGACGGATACACTAAGAGTTAGGTTCGGAATTTAAATTGACTTTTTCGTGGCTGTTTAGGAACATATTTGTGTCACCAAGTTAATACACCTACAGTTTCCTTATAAGACTTTTAAAAATGCTCAATATAAGTGGAAGACAACTCTTGGTTTTTCATAAAACGGTAGCAGATGAGGTGTGAGATTTAAGTTCATTGAAATCTCCAGGCACTACAGATATTAAACCTTGGATTGCTGAAGATTTAAGGGTTTAGCAGATCGAATATGGTGCATGATACTGAGAAAAACTACACTGGCGTAAAGATATTAAAACCAATGCTCAAAATTAGGCGAAAAGTCAGGAATAAGTGATGTGCGACTGCTTTTAAGAAATCTGCATTAGATAGAGATGCCAGGTAATCTATTGCATTCGCATTGAAGTTACGATATTACTACGTGTACTGCTATATTCATGTACTGAGATTATGAGTCTTGCTGCCTAGATATATGTGTGAATTTGGATCCTTTGTAGCCCAGTTGCCTTCCCGTTTGCTGTTCAGCGTACACGAGTTTCAAAATCATAATATAAGGGGATTTTTCATCAGCATAAAGAAGCATAGCAGACCATACTCCTAGGACATAGTATTTTGATGCCTACTCTCAGAAGGTTTGCTTCGATTTCCGGTAGATTAATATAGCATCAGAAAATCTACTCTTTTCGGCGAGCATCAAGGCTAAAACTGAGTTGTAACTTATTCGAATTTTAGATTCACCAACTATATTAAACACTTCGCTTAATTTTAAGAAATCTTGTAATGGATTTCAAATTCTCGCATTTCAAGAACATATGTGACTAGGCCTACTGAAGCGAAAGTTTCATGTATTTACAGGAAAATCAACGGCATTTTTCTAACGTGGCCTACGTTGACAAGTCTTACAAAGGCTTTGATATACTCAAAGATGAGGCCTCATGACCTGCTAAAAACCTCGTTAAAAAAAAACTCACAGAACTTCGATATAACATCGAAAATGGGACGGTTACTGAAATGGTTAATACTGAACATCTCCCAAACGAAAGTTTATCTATTTTATAGCGAGTAGGCACATCACTTGTTCTATAATATTGCATGAAATTTCAAGTTAATAAGTTAATAAAACGTACCAACAGATTTTTCTCGTCTTCTCTCTATCATCTCTAATGCTTTGACTCTCCGCGACCGATGTTTCGAATTTATCGAGACAACTTCTTTCCGATTTGGATAGAAGGGTCCTTCTGCAGCCACCATCTCGATACATAGCTGAAAACGTCACAAGATATATAATTAAGAAATCATGCAATATGGTAAAATCTCTGCATGTACAAAAGGATTTGACCTAAAGATTACTTCACTAGCAAATTTTCATACATTTATAAATATAAACCGACCCGTTATATAAACCAAGAAATAGAATTCTGTGGTAACAGACTTACAAAATTGAAAACCCACGTATAAGGCAAATTAAAATGATTCATTTACTAAACCTGTGAATAACTGACAGTCTATGGTTAATGCGTGGGGAATATTTTTGACTCTCAATTGTGATAACAATTCTCAAATAATCAAAATTTTCCTTTGTTTCGTTACATTTTCGTTTTATCAGAAATTAATTTTTCATTTCCGCCATAATAGAAAAGTTGCCAGAACATAAAAAGACTGCAAATTTTCTAGTTTAAACTAAAACTTCTAATTTTATTCAGAGCACTATTATGGACGTAATTAAAGATATTATCTAAGAGATAGATGATAACGATGTTAGTGATTAAATGGAAGGCAACGGCATTTGCCTGAAACTTCTGCCTAAAACCTATAGCAGAAACGTCTGAGCATATTCCAGACTGAACGTCCATTGAGAAATTCCTTTAATGTACATAACTAAAACGTTTATCATTTATGGAGTATTTCTAACAGATAGTTACTAGAGTGAAATATACTATTCAAAATAATTAAGGGATATTGTGAGTTCAGTATGAAATAACCATATAATCAACAACTTTTTTAACAAAGTTGAAATAGAAGAGGTTCAGAAGGAAAATTATAAGATTTACAAAATTGTGACTAGGAAAATTTTGTTTGTGATGGCGAAAATTACATATTTTGGATAATCGGTGAAACGCGATCTGCAACAATCCTTTTGTACGAGATTAAATACAACTGACACACACTGAATGTTTTGAAACAGTGAATAGTCTCAGCAAGATGATTAAGCTAAATTGGTAGCCTGAAGGGCCATCGGTCATTTAGACGCAGGTCAAACATAATCCCTTTTAGCAGAAGCATTAAGATTTCTCAAAGTGTCATTTCCAGACTATGGAATTGGTTTTTGGAAACTGGAAATTTTCATTGAAGATCAGGACAAGGTCATGTATGCTTGCAACAACACAAAATGATTATCAGTATTTAACACTAACAGCCGGCTGAAACAACACTATGAAGGCCACTTTCTTGCAACAGCACATTCAGAAGGCCACTGGTGTTTAGAGTCTCGACTAAACCTATTCGACACTGATCCGCTATGTAAGTCTGTATTCTGGCAGATCTATGGTTTATGTTTAGTCGACACAGAACCACTGTGCTACCTACAGAAGATGGGCACAGGGCCATCTCAGGTGGGGCCGCGTATATTATTTGTGTTCTAATAATTTATAAATCATTTTGAGTTTCTAATCCAACCCTCCAAACTTCAGCAGTAAACTCATTGCTAAGAACATTCTGCTTCAGTGTGCAAATATGTCGTAAGTCGTATACTTGTTAAATTTTCAGCGAATAGATATAACCTCGTTTGGATTAATGCATTACGTTCTCTTTCGCATTTGGGATGCACTTGTTTTTGTGATTTATATCACTTCTCAACTTCTATAAAAGATCCACCTAAACGGATATATCTACCATTCGTTGTATGAAAGATGTTGAAAAATCAGAAGACTAATCTTAGATCTCAGCCGAGAATTCCTTCAAACGTATCTCATAGCTACAGTTATCAAAACTGTTTTGAAGTTTTTAAAAGTGCTGCAATGAAAAGTACCTCAAAAACATTTACCTTCGACAATCACTTTCTAAAGCAATGTGTAAGCCTCCATGAGTACATCCAGAACTTATATTCCAAAGACAATCCAAAAATGAATATATGAATCAATTTAAAATATGCATATCGAAAAATTTAATCAAATGGCAGTATAACTAAAGCTTACAAATACTTCATGACGATTTTCAAGCAACGGCATGAAAATATTTTTATGTCTTCATTTGGAGATAAAAATGAAAAAAAATATTTAAAAGTAAACTTGTAAGGATCTTAAGATTTACTAACGTTTATTTTATTTTTAAATCTTTACTATCACTTCTTATTTTCTACTTCCGGCCAGAATTATAAGCGTTAATGTATTTATGCAAAGTTTGTCTGGCGAACGCCAAGTATTTTAAGTTGTGGCTTTTTGCCAAGCGAGAGAGAGGAAGCAGTGAGTCGAAGCAGGCCGCTTACCTTAGAAGTTTACTCAGTTGCTGGTTGCCTTCCAGGCCAGAGGTTTTAATCCTCTTGATAATTTTTAAACGTATTGTAGTGTTCACAGTTCTCTGTACTACATACGGCTTCCTGTTAATATAAGGCCAATCTTCCACGTTTATTATTTTAAAGTTAAATTAGAGTTTAGTTTTATTTTTTATATTTTTACGTTTAGACCCCAAGTAGTGGGTCTGTGTATTCCGAAGTACGGAAGTTATTGTAAATAGAGAAAAATAAAGGGTTTTGTATACCCTTCTTGTGTATCCTGTCTACTTCCCACAGTGATTGAACATAGCTTTAGTAAGCTCTCTGTTCCGAGTCAGGTCCTTGCATGTTCCCGAAGAAAGTAAGACGGAACATTGAACCTGATAAACTTAATATTAATTATATGCCATTATACATAATGCTTCAAATTAAATACTTAACCATAAAGCAACGGATTCATTTCTCAAAGCAGAATGGGAATCGCGATTCCGCACTCAAGTAAGAATAAAAAGAATTTCAGTTAATCGTTGCCATTAATGGTTAGCTACTTTTTAAACTTTTAATATTAGAACATTCATATCTTTCTCTCAAGTATGAGGAATTAACGAATTCAATGTTATTAAAAATACAACGAGAATAATTCGAGTGACTAAAACTAAAGAAACATAAACCTACCTGGATCAGGTATATCTTCAGCGCTGAAGTCGAAAGGACTCTGGTGAGTATCCTTGACTGTAACTGGATGTGTATTTTTTATGTCTCTTGAGACGTAATCCATGCCTTGAGCAAAGCCTTCAGAAGAAAGATCAGCCATTTCAGGTAGAGGTTTAGATCTAATATTGAGAGGACTCTCCATTTCTTCAGGTACAAAATCTGAAGTGGCGTCAGAAGCATCTAAAAGATACATTTAATGAATTTAGACAACATAAAAAAGGTCTGAAAGCTTTCAGATTTTACATTATATACAAATAGGCGTGTTTTTGTTTTTCCCATTTACTACATACACATACACGTTTCAAGAGTATTTAGGCTAATGTCTCTTTGGGCTAAAAATATTTAAAAGCAGCGTATCTTTAGAATTTCCGATAGACAGTCCCGCGCGCTGTAAGAATTTTTTTTTCTTTCTGCACAGTGTTGCCATTGCTCATTTTGAAATTGTGAGTTTTTTAATCGAAAATTCATTAAAGTTTTACAAAATATAAAATAGACAATAAAATAAATTCCAAATTCGGGCGTCCAAGCGCCCATATTCGGGTGCAGAACTATGTCATTCAAAATTTGAAGGTTTCGCTGTTTACTCACAATGCGAGAAACATATTTACATTCATGCAGATTCTTCATCATTCAGATTCTTTACATTCATGCAGATTCTTCATTATGTAATTTCTTTAAATATAATAAAGAGCGATAATATTTGGAGGCAACAATATGAAAAGTGAAACGAACATTTATAGTTATAAGACTACAGTTCAGTTTGGCTATCTTAGGACACTAGAATATTTGAGAAGGATGTAGCGACTATTCACTGACTTCTTGAAACTTCAAGAACAAGTCAAGAAAAGGGTTAAATTACTGTCTATTTTACTCTAGAATATTTTGCATTTGGCCCTTCACTGGCTTATAGGAAGCCTCCAGTTGGTCTTTAAGTTAAAATAGAAATTAAGAAACTAAACTTGTGCTAACTAACTAAGAGTAGCCGAAGCTGTACAGAAATAACTTAACAGATTTGGCTCTTATTTATACCTCACCGTCTCACAGGCACGTATCAATATGGCCGAACGTAGTAAGATTTGGCTTAAAGCAACGACGTGACCAGAATGCAGAACACGCTTTACTGAGCACTTCGACGGAAGGGACCAAGACTTCCCATTTAATACCGGTTCTACCTAATTTACACAAAACGTAATTCTGAAAACTCATTCTGGGAGTTGCAGGTGGGAAACAAGAAAATATAGGAAAGCTGTTTAAAATTAAAAATAACTATTAAGAAGTTAAAATAAACCAGTACATAGTTAGCCGATGCAAAAGGCCGTTTCCAGACTAAACCCTCCTGGATTAACCCCTTTTTAGGTTAAATGTGTTAAAACAAATTCCCAATGGGTTTTCATTGCCACTCCAGAGGCCAAGCGGTAAAAGCCGCTCAACACTGGTAATTGGGTTCGGTGTTCGAGTTCCGGCGAACAGGCTGGTAGCATGGGCGTCGTGGTGTTTTTTCCCATGTGCAACGTGGATACAGTTTCTCTTAAAAAGACCTCCACGGGCATCCCTCCCTTTCCGTATGGTTCCTGAGGACGGAGGACGTAATACGTAAAAAAAAAAAAAGAAAAAAATGGGTTTTTCAGTAGCAACATTGATACATCAACAGCTGGTATTTCATGGGCGCATTTTTACCAACAGGCGGCAAAATTTAGAATCAACAAATGTGTCTACTTACAGAACTAAAGTTGACAACTGCGTATATATAAGCATTTGCTATTTAAATTTTGACCTTATATAAGTTGATAGTAAAAATTTTCAGATAAATCTTTACATATAGATCTTGTGAACAGATTTTTAGTAACAGAATTTCATAGCGTTGCATTTTCTGTATTAGAATTAACGCAAATGTTAATATTTTTATCTCATGTTTATTAGTTGCAAAAATATTTGTTTGTTTCTAAGCAATTTGATTGCAAAAAGATTCCACATCTTACTGGAATCTATTTGGAATCTATTTGCAATTTTATAAACATTTGGGAGGGGACAGAGGAAGAGAACAAAATTTGATTTCTATTTTGAAAATCGAATATGATACTGCCATTTGTTTTGGTGGGATTTTCCCATATTCTCTATATATATATTATTATTCTATATATAATTTGCATCACAAAAAATAATTTAAATATATTTTTAATATTTATAATAAATATATATTTATGTATAAGTAAGTGTAATATTTAAAAAAAATATAAAAAATAATAAATATATTTTAGTAGAATTATCTTAAGAAGAGTGAATCCATACTTAGTTGGATGACTATCAGTTGAAGGATTTGTACATAGCTGTAATTAATTACTAAGTTGTATATAATGTAAAAAGCTAATTGTTTTCAGACTTAAGCTGTTACTATGCTGTTACTAAAAAAAATGGAGCCTATTTCATAATCCTTTAGTCAGTCAAATAGCTCTTTAGACAGTAAAAATTCCTTTTTTCCTTTTCTTACTTTCTTAAATTCTTATCGTTTCGACACGACAATTAGCCAGAAATTAATTAATTTCCATTCACTAGTATTTTCAAAAAAAAAAAAAAAATTTAACAGACGGTTTTACTCAAACAAGAACTTCACAGAATACATCCCTCAAGAATTCCGAGTCCCACCCACTACCATAAATTACTTCACCCAAGTCTTACCGACTGATATTATTCAAATCCCCCGCTGCCGCTAAGAATATTTCGGAAACACTACACTTCTGAGTCAGACGCGAAGAGAACACTTCGTCGACTCCCCACTAGAAAGAACGTAAGTTAATTATTACTTTTCTGGCCTTTATATCTTCATGTACATTCACTTTTCTTATTATATTTTTTATTTGTTTTTACAAAGTTTGCATTATTTATCTTATTTCAACTTTATACTTTGAATTCTATTTCATAATGACAAATTCCAATGTTTAATTTACAAATAATACAGAACTAAAATGCATAAACACGAGGGTGTCGGGGGACGGTTACTCGAGTTTTTTCGAAATTCACTGCAGAAATTGCTTTCCACTCAAAAGTGAATTGGCTAAAATATTTCATAGGATTAAGTTCTTTGAATATCAGCATTTGTTCATAATCCCTTCTTTTCATGGAAATATTTGGCCTGACTTGAATTGCCGGTTTGGCTTAGCCTTATTACTCGAGTAAAGACGAAACACCTTCGTATTTATTTATTAATTATTGTTCATTGAACGGGAATTGGTTTGTTCCCCTTGAAAAGTCAACTAATTTCCGATCAATGACAATGATTACATGCATTTAATTTAATTCTTGCCTTTAATTTCTTCCTTTCACAATTGAAATTTTGTTCTTCATGATGATTTAATTCCAGTCCCCGTTAAAACATTAACATTTTACTTTCAAGTTACTTCACAACATCTTTCAAAATATAACTTACTAGTATGGATTCACTCTTTTATGATAATTCTACTTTAATTAAACTTAGGAGATAATATAATCAATTAATCAATATATTTAGTAAATAAATTATTATTAACTTACTTTGCAGCAATTGCGCAAGTAGTAGTTAACTGGTTTTCGCACTAAATGAATTAAGATCATACAACATTTGATACATATATATATATATATATATATGCTGTGTGTGTGTGTGTGTGTAGTATAATAAAAAAATAATAAATAATAGATATATTTTAAGTATATATATTATATATAGATACATATATAGATATAGATATATATATATATAAATGTATATTTAATTAAGTATATATAATAAATATATTTTAAGTACATATTTATTATTACGCATTTGTAATGTTTCATAAATATTGCATATTTTATTTACTTATGGTAGCGGCATTTTATGTTAAACCATTCGTTTATATTAAGTATTTTAATGAGAAGGAGCTTGTTTTGAAATACGTGCTAAATAACAATTTCAATGATCTCTGAGGTTTTATTTCATTATGAAGAATTAGTAAATGTAATAGCGGTATCTGGAAATTTGAATTACATATATTCCCTTTATTGACATAGTTTTGTGATTTCCTAATACTTCAAACAACCGAAACGATTTGAAATCAAATGTTAACAGCACATCATTTAAAGAATCGAAACAAAATACCGTAATCGAATGGCAGAAGGAAGCTAATGTCGATCGGAAATTTTTGATTATATTACTGTTGATAGGCCAGAGTGACAGTGAAAAAAAAAGGAATCTAGAACAATAAATAATGAAATCAAAACTATAATTTATTATCTCTTAAGTGGTCTGAAGTAAAATGCTGAGACTGAAAAAGCTAATTTTTCTTGTTGAGATTTTAAGGAAAATTACATTCAGACAACAAATACCCACAGACGATATATACTTTAGAGTCTGGAAGAAAGATTTATGATGTATATAAATTTAAACGCCCAGAAATCTAAAAGAATCATAAACAAGCAAAATAAAGTTTCCAAACAATTTTCAATTTTAAACTGTGTAAAAATTATTGTCTCGTCTAGAAATGAAATGCGCCAATTGACTCTAAATTCTTCCAGGAAATCTCTATTACCGAAAATGGTCAGTCAAGGAAAATGTTGTTAAGCCAATTCAGCTTGAACATAATAACATTCTCATTATTTAGTATATTATTAGTCCAAAGGGGCTCTGTCCCTGAAGGATTATTGTTTTCGTTTTGCGATTTTGCGTCGGTTCAAATGTAGATTTCACTTTTCAAACTGTTGCCACCCAGTGTTAAGAGTCCTGCATTATACGATTATTATATCGTATTTGAAGAAATTAAATAATGAAACATCTGCATAAATGTATGTATATTTCTTGCATTGTGATAAAACAACGGTACATACAGTTATCGAATTTTGAATGACTCAATTCTACTGCGAATATGGGCGTGTGAAAGCCCAAATTTGAAATTTAGAATTTGTTTTATTATCGAGTTCATATTTTGTAAATCTTGAACGAATTTTTGATTAACACACTCAAGAAATTCAAAGCGAGCAATGGCAACGTTGTTGTTATGTAGAGAAATTATCTGATAGCGTTATAAAAATTAGGTGAATGATTTTATGATTTATGGAAATCTTAATTTTTATTTGATTATGAATTATTTATTTTAAGGCTTTAATTTTGGGGAAAAACAGATGCTTCTGGAAATATTATTTAGTTTAAATGAATATTATTTATTTTC